ACGTTGTCCCCTCAGTTTTCACTTCCGAAGTCCGAGACGCCATCGAGTTGGTGAAGAATTGTACAGCGCCCGGTCTCAACAGGTTTAAACCGGAACATCTGAAGAACGCACCGCCAGTTATCATCAAAACTCTGGCTCGACTCTCCACGCGCTACCTTTCGGAGTGCAAGGTATTCACTCCGTGGAAAACCAGCAGGACCGTGTTGCTGTACAAGAAGGGAGACTTAGAGACATTAGCAACTATCGCCGCCTCTAATCTACAAGCTATTCACTCGAGTCATCCTCAACAGGATCGGCAGAACACTAGATGAAGGACAGCCATGCGAGCAAGCAGGCTCTTCAGCGCCGCACTCGAGAACGTCATGCGTCAACTGGAATGGGAAGACATGGGAGTGACGGTCGACGGCCGGCAACAACACCACCGCCGTTTTGCTGAGGACATCGTTCTTATAACGACGAACATCGAGCAAGCGGAGCGAATGCTGGCTGATTTCAACTGCGCCTGTGGTAAGGTCGGTCTGCAGAGAACGAAGACGATGTCTATGAGAAACGGATTGGTTCCTGATGCCCCCTTCACGCTCAACGGCTCGAACATCACCGAATGCTCCAGCTACGTGTACCTAGGTCGGGAAATCAATATGATGAAAGACCCAGCTCCACAGCTGAGCAGGAGGAAACGAGCGGCATGGGGAGCATTCAAGAACATCGAGGGAGTAGTGAAGAAGACGATGAATACCCGGCTCCGTGCCCACCTCTTCGATTCCGCTGTCCTTCCTGCTCTAAGCTACACCTCAGAGACTTGGACTCTGCGCAGGCAGGACGAGCATACGGTCAGCGTTATCCAACGCGCTGTCGAGAGGATGATGCTAGGAGTAACCCTCTACACGCAAGTGCAATAGGGAATCCGGAGTTCGGAACTACGCCAACGATCGAAGATCAGGGACGCTGCCGTTTTCGCCAAGGAATCGAAGATAAGGTGGGCCGGAGACGTCATGCGATTTTGCGATGATCGTTTGACCACAGTGGTTACCGACTGGATCCCTCGGGACGTCAAACGAACACCTGGGTGACCGCCGGCCCGATGGTCAGGCTTCTTCACGAAAGCTCTGAATGAAAGGAATGATGGGCTGTGTCCCTCGAGCAACGAGGATCCACTGGACCACACTAGCACGTTACAGAAACGAATGGAGACGTTGCTCGAGGAAATCGACGATCAGTGGGACGACAGGTGACAGGTGACAGGTGATGCACTGGATAAACCATGTCAATCATGCACTACTGCCGATTTATGACGATTGTCGGTACAAACACCTTGAAGAAATGCAACCGTCTCCTCATCGCGCACACCTCGTGGACCAAGGATGAATTGCAAAAAGGCTGCACATCAACGACAGACGGTGCAATAATTGTGGCTTAACACAAGGAGAGAGGACACTTCCTACCAAATCCGAAAACAGGCCGGCCAAGAACTGTCAATGTTCCACGGAAACGATCAAGAAGTGGATTTGCCGCAACGATGAGGTCAGAATGAATAAAAGCGCTTCGGATCTGCATATCTCAGGAAGAAATGTCCAAAATATCGTGAAATTCAAACGGAATTTGCACAGTTACCACTTCTTTAAAGGACAGATGCTCGGCTTAACGGCCAACAAGAATAGACTGAAAAATGAAAGAAGTCTATCAGCACCCCAAGCGGGCCGCCTCTCGCACATAGTCTATATTGACGAGAAAATCTTCACGGTCGAGGTCGCGCACTCCAAAAACCGGAGGCAGCTGCTTGCCCGGCAGAGAAAACTCCAGAAAACGACAATTAAGATAGGAGCCGGTTCCCAAAGTCGGTTATGGTTTGGACCGGGATAGCATAAGAAGGCAAGATGCCTCTTGTTTTTGTTGATAAAACTATTGGGTTAAAGCATAATTATTGCGGATTCTTTTCACGCCTTCTTTTTACGAAATGGCTGGCGTTTTGTTATTATTTTTTCCTGAAAATATTCTTCTCACTTTCAATATCATAAATGCTTATCGAAAATCATCTTCGTGTTCGTCTATGCTCTACCATATCGGGAAAAGTTGGAAGGCGGCACAGTCATTTCGCAATCTCGTAGAACTTTTCGGCGAGGGAGCAATTGGCAAAAGCCAAGCTAAAAGCTGACCCAAGGAGTTCAAAACGTTACATCTACCGACAGAAGCTCCTACAGATCACAACTTCAATCAGACATTGAAAAACTGGCAGTTGAATAAAAGTTACGACGAGCTGAATGACTTGGTGGCCGATGTTAACGTGGATAGTCTCCTATAATCGTGGCTTCTCTACTCGTAGAATCGACCGACTGCCGAGCAAATGGGAAGCATACTCGAAGTACGGTGATCACGCTTAGGAACAATCACTTTAACATGTTTTCGTTAAATACTATATTTTTATCGTTCCAGCTGAGTAAAATTTGTTGATAAAATCCGCAATAATTATGCATCAACCCAATATCAGAATCAACTCAGAAACTTATCAGAACACTATTTTGAGGCACACGCTGATGCCGTAGGCTTATAGCCACTGTGGAGGACGAAATTTTGTTCTGCAACAAGACTAGCACATTGGTCGAAATCTATGATTCCCTTCTGCCAACGTCATTTTCCTGGATTTTTGAGGGAAAAGCCATGTGTCCACTTACCGGACCTCTCTCCCAGGGACTATTGCGTTTGGGGATCTGCAGAAGAAATTGTCCCTCAGCAGTTGGGAAAGTCTTAAAGCAGCGCTTTAGAGGGATCAGGAGTTCGAATGAATGATCCTTTACCTAAATCTTATCATTTGTTAGAATTTTTTGAAGAGGTGCAACGTATTTACCTTTTTACAAAAAATAAAATAATGAAATAAAGAATAAAGGACGCGAAAAAGTATCGGGCCATACTATGTCATCAGAGCGATGCAACTCTCACCATTCTGACCAAATCGTTAAGGATGACAAGTAGATGCATCGCAAAGCAAATACTCCTGGTTTCGATTTATGACTTAATAGAAGTTCATAAATCAATGTGTGGAAATTATGGCTCTCCTCTTTTTCAATTTTGAATTCGAAGAAAGTAGCTATTGCGATCATAATTCGACTATGGGTTACTTCACGAGCTGGGGTCTTCATTGCCTATACAATTAGTCTAATTCAGAAATCGCTAAATGAAGCTGCCTGAGTGCACGAGCTCATGGGACAACCTAATAGTTCTTCCCTGTAATCCGTTATCACATTCCGGCGGCGTGAAAGATGTTCTTCGGTGGTCTACATTAGTCCCTCCACCATGACATCTGATGTTACTAAGGAAAGGAGGAAGAGGAGAGTCAAGGCTGACCTTTGGTGAACCCAAGCGTTGAGTCTATCTCCTTTGCCAGGCTGTGCCTAGAGCGTATGATTGCGAGCTTAATCCCATCGAACACATCCTTCACCAGGAAGACCTGGCGTTCTGAGACGGCCCTTCTCTGATTACTCTCCACAGTACTCCTCGCGGCGGACGGTTAAACGCATACTGAAAGTCGAGGAAGGGTACGTAGCAGGGCCGGCGCCTCCCGACACTTCTACATCACATTCCTAGCGAAGAGACGGCATTCGTGGTAGTATTAACACGAACTGGTCGTGAAAGATCGGAAGCAATTCCTTTAGTTTTGGGTCAACCAGGTGCAACTTCTTAGTACCATCGCGTCGCTCTTTTAACACGTAGCGAACAACCTGCGCCCCATGGTGACGCACGATATACGATTTTTTTTACAGTTTTCTAGCATTTCATGTGATCTGCGTACGTGGTACACTCACAACCTGGGAGAATAAGATAACCCAGGACTAGAACAGATGTTTACCAAATTTACAACAATCTTAGTAAAAGTGCTTTAAAGCACAATTCTATTCCTATCAATTTTGTATCTTTCTTACTTATCCAAACATTCACCTTGGAAGACATCTTAACTATTTCGATGAAAAACGAAGGGAAGAATGTAACTAAAAACAATGCTAGGTAATGACTAGAATCAGTCGAATACACAAGAACCTCCACGAGTACAAAACAGGTCCAATAGATAGAGCCAGAAATTCATCAGGTCCAATAGATAGAGCCAGAAATTCATTGAAAAGAGATACCTATAGAAGCTTCTCTACTCGTTCTCATGGAAAATAAGGGGCAGCCTGAAAAGGAATGGAAGAGTGAGTGAAATCCTCCCAGAGCGAACCTTTGTTAGAGTGATCATTTTCACTCTTCGCGTGCAAACTACGTTTTTTTCTGTTCTCGTCCGCTCTCTCTTGTCGAAATAGCGTGGTAGGATTACAGCGAACTCGTATATTCCACTTTTTCCGTACACTGAAAAACTTAGCCATGGCTACCACACTGGCACTACTAGCGTCTTTTCCATCCCTCACACTTGCTGATTCATAGTGTCCGAAGATGAGTTTGCAGTAGCTTCTTTTTGTTTAATAAACCTCCCTTCACTGGATAGTCGTATAAGCATGGAGGGCTATGAGGATGCCAACATCTTGAAATCTTGTAGTTTAGAAAGTTCGCACAAGAGCATGGTTTTAGCGCCATCAACATAAGCCTTAAAAAAACCGACCCCGGGTGCCTGTGTGCGCCACCATGTGGCGCACGTGCAGAAGGAAATCAAAGCCGCCGGCACACAGATACGTGATATTGACTTCAGAGCATGTATTATATTATGACCCCTCCTCCGAAGTGATCCAGTTTTTCTCCTTTCCACGTGTGCATGCAGCGGTGGTGATATTGAAATAAGTTTACTATTATAAAATGGAAAGTATATGAGAATTTGTAATTCTTCAGGGAAGACGAGCATTTCATGTTATTTCAGAAATTCCCGAAAATTTATCAAAATGCTACAATGAAACTAGTCATGGAAAACATAAATTATTTTGTTGACGTTAGCGACGAGATGTGTTTCATATGAGCAGCACAAATATTTTTATTGAAAATTTCTCTATAAAAGTCACCACGAAGCTCTTCTCCAGGCAATCATGTACTTCCTCACAGCGGCTCTCCTTGTGTCCTGTACATTCGCACTTGGTTGGTTTAATGCAAGTTAAATGTTTTTTACAACGGTGGACATTTTTTTCAACGGTAAATTGAGTTTGTACATTCGAATATAGTAGCAAATTATCCAACCATCCAAATTGGCAGCGGTGGTCTAGCGACAAGCGGTGCTCGCTCACGCTGTTGCCGTCAAATCCTGACGCGGGTCTATGAAAGTCAGCCCAGCAGTCTACCTCTCTGGGTCGTTGGTACCATAATACTGTGGAAGACACTGAGTTTAACATTGTCTGAATCCGTAATTCATTGTGTAGGCCAAATTGCATTCAAGTGCTACTATGACGAGTCAGTGAACGGCAATGTATGGCACATACCAAAGTGGGCTGATCAGCAAGAATTGTCGGTGAAGCCGGAGTTCGGGTGGGGAGGGGGCATTCCCTTGTGCTCTCCGATGCTGGATATGGATAAGAGCGCTCTTGCCATGTAATGGACTCTTTTAGAATATACTTTTGAAAGGTAATGTTGTACAAAGTGATGGTCCTAAACGATGGGAATAAACAAGCTTGCCTATGCCGGAGGGAGGAGGAACCGGTACATGAAAAAATTTCCCAGGATGTGGGCAGGATGTGCAAGACGTAGGATACACACCCGTCCTTAGAAAGAGCACACACAAAATGGCTCCTGCTCCATTTCCACCAAACTGGCTATCCAGCAGCTTCTTCAATGACTTTGCAGGAATCCCCTCTGCATAAGAGTGCCTTGATATTAAGAACCCGTAGAAGATTTTATGAAGGTGATCTGTTATGCGTGAGATCTTAAATTTTTATAGATTTGGAAAAGGAGGATTCAAATGTCATCCGTGCCAAAAGACAAGTGCCATGGATGGTGGATGAAGCTTATAATGTTCGAAACGAGGAGTGGTGTAAGTTCAAGCGGTCAGAATCGAGAGATATCATCACAAAAGAAACTGCAAAATTTCAGACAAATACGACTGTAAAGAAGTGAGTATCTCTACGAGTGCATGGGCAAAAACGGTGGCGTCTTTGATGGGCTTAATGTGAGAAATTATCTTCCGTTCACTGGCTTCAAGAATATTTCACTTTTATAGGAATAGGAATAGTAAGCAGAGCAACATTTTGTAGAAAACTCTTTTTAGTGCTTCAAACCATACGAGATAAATATGAGAGATTTCCATCTTCTAGACGGTTGGCACAAAGAACTCAAGTGTAGGACGTCATCTCCTGAAGATTACGTACGTGATTTTAAAATTACCAAATTGTTATGGATTAATGCACAATACATGGTTCTATCGAAATCCCCTCAGGCGGTGCTATCAGCAAATGATCGTCGAGATGTCGTGAGTGTCGGAAGAGGAGTTGCGAGTAAGGTGAGCCTCCCTTTTATCACCTGCACAATTGTGGTCTTGCTGCCGGTAGAAAATTCTCAAAACCTGTTTGTTGTTACAGGTTATTCGCTGTAATGACAATGGCAAATGGGTAACCGATCTCGGTGACGATGAAATCGAAATCGAGGATGCCTTCTGCCTTGTTATCCCAGGAGATGATTAGACTGGAGACGCGGCGGACGTATCCAGTGATCCGGCATTTCCAATGAATTTTTTACTAACCTTCGTTGCAGGCAATAATGTTTTGGAATTTCGCAATTTGCAAGGTCAGATGAAGTGAAATAATCGAATCTAGTCCGCTTATCTCATCACTCCCTCACTCACTGGTCGAGAGGTTTCTATACACCTCGAGATCAGTGATAGCACAAGATCATAAACAATTTTTATTTCCCTAACACAACCCTCCTAAGATAGACACTCTAAGTGTACGTCTTCTTCTTAGGATCGACCATCAGTCGCTCTGGTACGCGTTGTGGCCTGACCCGACATTGTCCTGTGGCTTCTTCTGTCGGCAACGTCGTTGCTTCGGAATTGTTCTCTGACGTTGGCGGTGGATTGGTTCTAGCCTTGAGTTGCCTTGATCTTGATTTTTCGACATGCGAACATTGGTCTTGAAGTGGGCATAAGCGGAAGGTCGGCAGTTTCGGGTGTTGACTTTGGATGATGTGAATCCTTGACAACGTTTGAACGTAACCGAGTCGCGTGACGTTTCCAAACTTCTCCGTCGATCATTACATAGTGAAGTCTATTTCCATACCGCTGCAATATTTGCTTGGGGCCGTATGCAATGAGCCCCGCAGGTCTGAGGGGATATATCGACTCAGTCGTATGCAACAAGCCCCGACGTTCGCCGGGGTACGTATACCCTCAGTCGTATGCAACAGGCCCCGCAGGTCTAACCAGGAAAATCTTTCAGGACATGGAGCCCTTTTTGAAAACGGTTTTTTGCATGATAAAGGGGCACATGCATGGAGTACAAAACTAGGCTCTATTTTTTCTGAGCGGCCTTCCTAATGCCAAAAAAGGAGTAGAAAAAAATTTCTTCAGATATCGGAGTTTTCACACCTTCAACGTAGTTTATATCACTCGTTGCGTTAAGTGGGCGCACAATAGAAGATTTTCTTCACCTGAACGTGAAAAACAGCGTGGAATAAGGCCAATACCAAAAATTGTATATAATGAGTGCTCAAAAGCAAAAGGAAGTTTCATCAGAGTTGTTGACATTCGACATATAGCGGTGGTCGGATGGTCGAGTGGATAGCGTGATGGGCTCTGGTTGGCACAGTTTGATCGAAGCTGTTGGTTCGATTCCCCTCCATGCTCAGATTTTTGCATTTTCCCGACTATCACTTTTCTGCATTTACATGTGCTTGCGCGTGAAGTTAAAGCCTATAGGTGTCATTTCCAAGAACTTCTCCCACAATTCTGCGATATTTCGTAGTACCATGTTTTTCAATTGTGTACGAAATAGTGTTTACAAGCAATGAATAACTAACAGTTATGGTAGAACTCAATGAAGCATCTGAATCACAGACGCGGATCATACCAACTGCATCTAACGAACACCAGAGAAGTGAAGTTGTCATTTTCTTCGCAAGGAACACCTACTTCATATCTCTTGAAGGCAAATTGCCGGCGTTGAGGAACGGCCGGGATGCTCGTCGACGTGGCCAGTGCCCACCCAGGCCCTTGACCAGATCAAGGGGTGATGCCAGATTGTCCCATGGGCAGGAACTGCGGTGGAACTGTGACTAACAACAAAACGTACCGTTTACTCTCATCTCGAAGCTGTCTCCAAGTGGGCCGCCCGCGTGCCGTACTGACTATTGGCTTACCCATGGCCCAATTTTTGAATTCGGGTCAAAATCTTGGTCTTCTCTAAAACTGCGGCTATAAGGGTAATTATAGGACGCTGCATTAACAGTCTGACGTCCATTTTTGACGGAGGCGCGATATTGCGCTATTTTAGCCCCTCGAACCGATTCGGCGCCGCTTTTAGCGCCATACAATTTTCGCCCCCCAATTCTGGGCAGAAAGCTAATCAGAAAGGTTGATGATGACCCTGATTGTAAGAGCAGGAGCCTATTTTCATCGGCGGTAACATTTGAGTTAATTAACATGCGCTAACATGAAATGCAAAATTTTGTCATCAGCCAGCCGGATCGATCCCTCGACCGACTTTTCGTACTTTTTTGGCATTAGGAGGGGCCGCTCAGAAAAATGAAGCATATTTTTGTACTCCATGCATGTGCCCCTTTATCATGCAAAAAACCGTTTTCTCAAAATAAGGGCTCCATGTCCTGAAAGACCTTCCTGATAAGGGGATATATCCCCTCGGGGCTTGTTACGTACGACTTTGGGGAGAAATGTAGGGAATGAATCCCCCTACTCTCGACATCGGCTTCGGTCAGTTGGACTGTCGACGCGTTAGCGTCGCGGTCGAGCTAACCTCGGGATTTCGGTGATGAAATCCCCAGCAGGTTGGTTTTTTTTCGCTTTATTTTGCCGTTTCAGTTTTCTGCTCAACATTGCTCCGCATAATGACCTGGTAAATACATATGTAATACAATACGTTAATACAATAAACGGCCGAGTACACCACTAGGGTGTGCACTTTTGCGCTATAAGATTGGGAACATGATGAGAAATCGGCGCCGCTTTTGACTCTGAAAAGGAATTTTCGAGATGAAGGATCGAATTTGGTCTTCCATCAGACCTCCTCTTGAAAACCCGTAGATTGGGGTAAGTACTGCAATTTGTAAGTCCTCGTAAGGAAGAAGGGCACTAGTGAGCTATGGGGAAGGGAACAGAGCGGCGCATTAATAGTGCATCTCAGCAGCAGTAACCCCATTCCTTGGACGGGAAGAAAGATACAGGGTGGGTGAACAAGTTTGCGTGTGCAGGAATAGAACTAATAGTAAGTGAATAAGAAAATGAAAAAAGGTTGTCATAGTTTCGAATGCTTCAGGTGCTCTCTGCCGCAAATCCTCCTATAGGTATATTGACGCCGAAACGAGTTACGGAGCAAACCCTACCAATTAAGACTGTCTTTCATCTTCTTGTGACGCTCACTTATATGATAATTTCGACTTAGTGTTTATAATTTTAGAGCACTTTGATTTTGCCATATTCTCGCTCAGAAAAAACTGCTCCTGTAGATGAAAACCTACAGGTCGCCCGTATGGAATATTCTCAGAGGAAACGCACTTCACATGTGTAGTTGTGTAACTTATGCGGTGTGTTAACCTGCATTCGCTCATGATCAGCACATCACCGCATTTCGCGGTGCAGACGCGTATCTCTCTTTCGCTCTCTCATAGTTCCTATGAATTCGAGGGTCGAAATCGGCGGAAACTTTCCAAGAAAGCCAATACTTAATTTCAGCTTGAAGTCAGCTCGACCGCGACGCTAAAGCGTCGACGGTCCGACGTCGGGGATGAATTTCCCAGTCGAGAGTAGGGGGATCCATCCCCAACGTTGCCTTCAAGTTGTATGTAACAAGCACCGAGGGCATATATCCCCTTAGACCTGCGGAGCTTGTTGCACACGACTGAGGGGATCTCTTTTCAGACATGCTGGGCTTGTTGCATACGACTGAGGGGATATATCCCTCAGACCTGCGGGGCTTTTTGCATACGGCCCCTGATGTCTGCTGCGGTTTTCTTGAATGCTATTTCATAGTTCATACCATGACGCCGACGTTCAACTCCTTCTATCGGGCTCCGTGGTGACGATTATGTTGTTCCTCCATTCTACGATTGCGGGTACTGTCGTGACGTTTGGCTTCGCAAGGCTTGATGTAATTCGTATTTCTCTTCCGAGAATTATTTCGGCCGGCGATTTTCCTCCTGGCGTGAAGGAGCAGAGAGTTCGACACTATGTTTGCAGAAATTTTTGTGGCGCTTCGGCTGGCGTCGAGTCTTGCTTCATTTTCTCGAAGTTTCTTTTGAAGGTGTCGACAAAACTTCCTGCTTGCCCGTTAGACTGCTGGTGGAATGGCGAACATTTCATGTGTCTTACGCCATTTTTATTGCAGAATTCTTCAAGATCTTTGGATATGAATTGAGTTCCGTTATCCGTCACCGATGTTTGTGGGTTGCCTAACTGGGCGAAAAGAAGGCGTAACTCTCTGATCGTACTACAGGTGTAGAAGACATTTTGACAATTCTGGCTATTTTTGTAAACGTCGGCGACTATGAGGGACATTTTCCCATCGATCGGTCTAGCGAAATCGGTGTGTATTCTATGGCCTATCTTCCACTGGCCATGAGCGTAGTGTCGTTTTGACAGGATTCTTCGCCGTTTCCTTGCAGCTGCGTCAAGCTTTGACGAATCCCTTGATGTCGTGGTTGATGTTCGTCTAGTAAACGTAGGTTTCAGCAGGCATTTTCATACGTGTCGTCCCTGGGCGTCCGTCATGGAATTCTTAAAGCACGGCGTCTCGTAAAACATCTGAGAATAAAATGCGATCTAAGATTAGTAAGCGCCCGTCCTGTGTTGGGAGCGATTCTGTGAGACATTGAATCCGCTTGTGATCTCGGACTACTTTGGCTATACTCCGCTAATGAATTTCAGAACATTTGCAGAACTGGATCCTTAATCTTAATTACTTCAGTGTTTTAGCACCACAGTTAATCCAAAATTCCCACATTTTCCAAGGTATATTTTATCTTTCAAATGAGTCCTCGAATCTAGAGGGATCTGAAGGACACGGCGCATCCCAGGCTGAGTTGGTTGCGCGCGCTTCAGCGACGGCTCTCTGGAGAAAGAGTCCCAACTTGATCAGAAAGGGTTCATGTGAAATTACAGGGTGGGGTACACCATTCAAAAAGAAACGCCATCTTCTGCGTCAAACTCACAAGCATGTGATCGTTGAAGTTGAAATAAGCTAAACAATTTTGCACTTTTCGGAAAGGGGGAAGCACGACAGTTCCGAATCTGCTCCCACTTTAGTGTATAGTCGCCCCTGAAAGGAGAAATAGTCATTGAAGTAGTGCCAATGTAGCGAAAAAGTACCTTTCGGCGGTACTAGGGCAAAAATTCTCAACGTGGCCATTTTTTTAATAGTGGAATTGTTGAGCTGTTCTAGTGAGCATTGAATAGTGCAAATCTTCTAGTTTCTGATGACATATTAACTTTTCGGATTGGTTGAGCCTGGTC